TGGGACGTTTGTGTAAGTTTTCCAAAGAATCATACGGATCATGGCTCGAGGATTAGGACTTTAAACATCCGAAAACTAGGTTTTCACTCTTCACGTCAGGAAGGGAGAAAGTGGAATAGCACCTACACTTTGCAGCAAATTATTAGAAGTGTGCCACTTCAATAGCCCCATGCTCCCCAAATCATCTCCTTATCGTGGTCCACTAAAGTTGCGGTGGCCCAATCAAAACAGTGGTTTTCTGAATTTTACCTACATAAGAAGAAACTCAAATAAAAATCAAAATGAAACATTAAAAAAAAATAAAGTATGAAAAAACCTAAAATGTCCTTCGATAGAAGATGAAAAATTAATTAAGATAAAGTGAAGATGCTGTTAAATGCAATTAACTGCTTTTTATAGAATAAAGTTTAACGGCTTATCGGGTTTTCTTTTAAATTGTTTCATAATACTGTAAGCGCGGTACTTTGATCGTCAAAATTATGGGCATATTCCTCTGGAGACTTTAAATGGGTAGATCAAGTAAACTGCGGTAGCAGCGGCAACAGGAGCTAAATATGCAACAACAATTCAAGATCGCAAGTCCAAACGGAACTATTGACTACACCTCCCTACTGTGTTTTTATGCTCTCTTATACTGGGGTAAACTGGGAGACATAATATAGTTGTAATTTTTCAATCATTATATGTTTTTCCTTTAAAATAATTTTGTATTTATGCATGGTTTATTGGTTTAGTAGAAATAATTGGAAGTAGGGTTTCTCTACACAAACGACTTTATCAGTATCCTGTATTGATGACTTTGTTGATTTTGGGGTAAATGATGAACCCTAATTCGGCAGAGAAGATTGTGGAGTAGAATGTCTTAAAGAGAGAAATATTGGAAGAGAGAAATGAAATGAAAATTTTCACTCATATCTCTGTACAATGTATTCTCATAAATATATAGATGGAGTATCGGCTAACTCACTAACCACTTAAACTAATTGACTAACTACATAACTGATTCTAGAAGATTCTACACAACTATATACATTTTCACTATCATATTGTATTTTCATTATTCCCCCTCAAGCTAGGTGGTGCAAATATGTTCAGCACACCTAGATTGCTTACAAGATATTCATGTTGTCGTCTTCATAATCCTTTTGTTAAAATGTCAGCCTCCTGATCTCTAGTCCCCACATGTTCTGTCTTTATCAAGCCCTCTTGAATATTTTGTCTGATTAAGTGACAATCGTTTCATTCTTTCATGAAATACTGGGTTGGCTGCAACTTGCAATGCAGCCCTGCTATCACTGTACACTTTAATTGGTAACTATCGTTTGTCCCCAACTCCTTTAGCAATACTGTCAACCATACTACTTCTGATACTGCGCTTTCCATGCTTCTATATTCAGCTTCAGCTGAACTTCTTGACATTGTGTTCTGCTTCTTCGACTTCCATGAGATCAAAGAATTTTCACACTTTACTAGAAAATCTGATACTGACTTCCTTGTATTGGGACATGAAGCCCAGTCAACATCACATTATACACTCAATCTGTTGTTGTTGTTGCTGCTACTTAATAGAATTCCCATTCCTGGTTCTCTCTTAATGTATCTTACCACTCTCAATGCTGCATCCCAATGAGACTTCTTAGGGCTCTGTAAAAACTTACTAAGTGTTTGTACTGAGAATGCTATGCCTGGCCTAGCTAATGTCAGATACAATAACTTTTCAATGAGCCTTTGATATTGCCCACTGTCAGTTGGCAAAGTATCATTCTCAACTTTTGTCACTTTATCAAGATCTGGCACAGTTAGCTTTGCATTTGGCTCTAGAGGAGTCCATGCTGGCTTAGCACCTGTGAGCCCTAACTTAGAGATTATCACCAAAGCGTATTTTCTTTGGTTGATCAGTATACCCCTCTTTGATCTGCTGAATTCCATTCCAAGGAAAAACTTCAATTCTCCCAAGTCTTTGATCTTGAATGCTTGGTGCAAAGAGTTTTTGGTGGCTTCGATCAGGTGTAAATTGCTTCCTGTTACTAGTATGTTATCCACATAGACTATAATTACTACAATGTCCGACCCTTGTTGTTTGATGAACAAAGAGTGATCTAGACTGCTTTGATGAAAGCCATAATGTATAAGTGCCTCTGTTAGCTTGAGGTTCCATTGTCTACTAGCTTGGTTAAGTCCATAAAGGAATTTTACAAGTCTGCAAACCATACCTTGCTCCCCCTGACTTGTAAACCCCTGTGGGAGCTCCATATAGACTTCATCATTGAGGTCTCCCTGTAGGAAAGCATTATAGACATCTAGCTGATGAATGGACCAATTGTTTACAACAGCAAGAGACAGAACAGTCCTAACAGTAGCTATTTTAACCACTGGGGAGAAGGTCTCATTATACTCTAACCCTTCCCTTTGGTTATATCCTTTAGCTACCAGCCTGGCTTTGAACCTCTCTATCTGACCATATGCTTTAAGTTTCACTTTGTAGACCCATTTGCATCCTATAGGTCTCTTTCCTGGCGCCAATTTAACCAGTTCCCAAGTGTTGTTCTCTTGAAGAGCTCGAACTTCAATCTGCATAGCTTCAACCCATCTTTATCTTGAGATGTCTGCTGGAAATTTTTAGGTTTTGTGATTGCTAAGAAGCTCCAAGGTAGGTGTGATGAGATGAGGATAACTTATCATAGCTGACAACATTCTCAATAGGATACATAACTGAATTAGTAGATGGCTTCTGAGTAATATAGTTTGTCATCCACACAGGTTCTTTGGATCCTCTTTGAGATCTTCTGAGAGGAACTGTAGTGTCAATGCTATTTGTGAATGGTAAAACCTGCTCAAGATTGTCAGTTGGCAGTACTGATTCATCTATTTCAGGAGTGTTCTGTATGTCTTCATTAGGATCAACTGATTCTTCAGATGCATATATGTGTTGCAAGGTTTCATTCTCAGGAGTTCCCCCTAAGGTTGAATTCTCCTGTGAAACTTTATTGACAGGAACTACTTCTGACATTATTGCTGGATCAACTACAGAGTTATTTTTTGGAGCAGATTCCAATATAGGTAAATATGCTGGTATTGAGCTCCCTGATGGTAATTGATCATTATTATTTACAAGGAAGGGATCCATTGTTTGATTCATCTCTGTACCCTGTAGTTGGAATGGGAAAATGTCTTCCCTAAATGTGACATCTCTGTTTACAAAAAATAGATGTTTCTCCAGATCACATAGAATGTAACCTTTGGTTACACTAGAATACCCCATAAACACTGCTCTAATTACTCTGCTTGCAAACTTGTCTCCCATTGGCAAGACAACAACGAAGCATAAACATCCCTAAGTCTTCAAGTGACTTATAGAAGGTTTTTTATGAAAGAACACCTTATAAGGGGATTTGCCTTCAAGAGCTACTGATGGTAATCTATTGATCACATAAGCTGCAGCTAGTATGCAGTGTCCCTAAAACCTGATAGGAATGTGACCTTGAAATCTGATTGACCTGGCAACTTCAAGGAGGTGCCTGTGCTTTCTCTCTGCTACCCCATTTTGTTGGGGTGTGTAATCACAGGTTATTTGATGTATGATTCCTAAGGACATAAACAAGTCCTGCATTTCTGAGTTCACAAACTCCCCTCCATTATCAAACCTTACTGTCTGAATCATTGCACTAAACTGAGTTGCTATCATTTTAAGAACACTTTTAAGGACTATGATGACATCTGATTTAAATTTCAGCAGAAAAATCCATGTCACACGAGAATAGTCATCTACTATCGTTAAGAAGTACTTATTTCCTTCAAAGGTTGGTGTATTATATGGTCCCCAGACATCCAAATGCAACAATTGTAACACCTTATTTGATCCATTAGTGCTTGACGGAAAAGGTAACCTGTGGTGTTTGGCTAATGGACATACATCACAGCTATCTATTACAGATTGGCATATCTCTAAGTTGTAACCTAGCAGGTTTTCATAACTCCTCCTGAAGCATGTGCCAACCTCTTGTGCCACACCATCACTTCTTCCTTATTTCCCTGTGTTGTTAATCCTCTTGTGACTTTCCTTGATTTTGCTCCAACTGCTTTATTTGTTTGTGGTACCAGTAGATAAAGTCCATCTTTCTCTCTACCAATCTCCTTCACCTCCCCATTGAAGAGGTCCTGGAACAGACAAAAGTCAGGGTCAAATGCAACCAGACATTTAAGATCCCTTGTCACCTTAGACACTGACATAAGGTTGTATTGGAAATCAGGTAAAAACGATACATCCTTGATTTCCCCTGTTCCTGTGACTCTGTAATTCCAAGTATGTGTCACATGTATTACTTCCCCATTTGGTATATTGACCTTGTTAGTGTCTTTAGTGTTAACTGCTTTAACATTATTCAAAAGTCTTAGATTAGCAACCATGTGATTGGTTGCTCCCGTTTCTATTATCCAGTGTGCCTTTGCTATATCAACAAGAAATGAATAAGCATTACCTGCCATGTTGGCTGTATTTTCCTGTTATGGTTCTTGATTGATATTCAGACTCAGCATCTTCATGATCTGATCATACTGCTCTGTAGTCAATTGTGGTGCTCTAGCCATTTCTCTTTTGTTAACTCCCTCAGGTTGACCAATGCCTCCTGCATTTCCAGCAATTACATTTGGGTGATTGTTTTCAGCACAAGCATTATATGCATTGTTCATCTTCTTCTTCCCTTTGAAACCAGCAGGATATCCAATAATTTTGTAGCATCCTTCCTTCATATGAACTTCCATCTTACAATAGTCACACTGCACATTCCAGTTCCTTTTTGGTCTTGGATAGTTTTGGTGCATGTCACCTTTACCAGCCAAAAGAGCTGCAGAATCATTTGCATTCCCTGTTGTCATGATATTGGCCATTGATCTTTGGCTTTCTCTCTCAACCGGCATTGATTATGCTTTATTAATGCTTGGTGTAGTGCTAGTCATCAAAATTTGGCTTCTAGCTTGTTCATAGGTTTCATTCAATCCCATCAAAACTGTAAGACCTTCTCTTTTTGCATGAATTCAATGAAATTTTTAGACTTGGCAAAATCACATGGAGGTGGCACCATGTTGTCAAACTCATCCTAGAGATTACGAAGTTTGGAAAAATACACTGATACACTATCAGTTCCTTGAGTAATTGTAGCTATTGCTTTATGCAGCTGATACACTCGTGAAGTGCTTACCTTATCAAATCGTTCCCTCAAATCATCCCAAATAGCTCTAGCATTATTTTCATACACAATCCCTGTTATCAATTCCTTCAAAGTGAGCTCATGATCTATCCTAAGACGATAGCGTTACATCGGTCCCACTGATGACTTAGTTCTGCATCAAAATCCCCCTTTCTAGAGTCCCATTGACTAACCCTAGCTTGTTCTTCCCAAGCAGCTGGATTTCCATCGCTCGACTCCAGGTGATGTAATTGTCAGAACCAGTCAATTGGATCGATATTATCGGAGCTCTCCTCGTGTCTGAAGGATGAAGGAACAGTGGATGGTTATGGTCCAAATCTGTCTTTGCCGCCATTGTTGGATCTCATTTTGTAGCTCACCTATCAATTGAATTGTTGAACTAACAGAGTCTCCCAGAATCAATGTTGTGCACTCGCAATCGCGATTAATTGCTCTGATACCATGTTGATTTTGGGGTAAATGATGAACCCTAATTCGACAGAGAAGATTGTAGAGTAGAATATCTTAGAGAGAAAAATATTGGAAGAGAGAAATGAAATGAAAAATTTTCACTCATATCTCTGTACAGTGTATTCTCGTACATATATAGATGGAGTATCAGCTAAGTAACTAACCACATAAACTATTTGACTAACTATATAACTGTTTCTAGAAGATTCTACACATCTATATACAATTTCACTATCATGTTGTATTCTCATTAGACTTCACTGTCTTTCACTTTACTAAGCATGAGAATATGAAATTTCAAGAAAAAAAAACTCAAATATTGGAAAAGGGACCTCATCCATTAGAGAGATATTTACATTGCTCCTTTCCTCGGCAGATGCGAAGCCCGGATTTAAAATTTATGAATTTTGAATTTGTCATCGAACTCATAGTTTGTTTTAGCAAGTGTATTTGCAATTAAAGATTTATACATATTTAAAAAACTTTTTGTTTATATGAATATAGAGTAATGATCAAAATTTACTGGGTTCGTTCGAATCTGTGTAGCTCCGGCCTTGCTCCGGGGCAAATAATTGATGATAAAATAGTATGTGTATGGGGTCAAATTCTGCCCACTATGGTAAGCAACGACCCCCGACTAAGCAATAGCCGAAGTGGAGGGGACGACCCAAGAATGTTAGAGCGAAAGTATGCCCTTGAGTCTCGTCGTCTCCTCGAAAGCACGTGACCTATCCCTGTATTATTTTATTATTTTTTGAGGGGGTTCCCTTGTTATATAAAGGAGAATCCCAATGTTGTAAGGGAGGATCTTTTCAATAAGAAGCTATCATTTCTTTCTATTTCTCTCTCTCTCTCAACAAGCTTTCTCTTACTCTCTTTCGAATATCCAAGTTGTTGAAACAATCACAAGCATAATATATATTTCTAGGTCTAATTATATTTGATTACGATTTACCTTTGATTCATTTTGATTGTTTTCGCTTACAAAGTAAATAGTATCTTTTGAGTCAAACAATTTGGCGCCGTCTGTGGGGATTTCGGCAATCGAAATCATAGTTTGCACCTAGAACATCAAAAATAAACCACCTTCCTTCACACCCTACTGAAATCGAAAAATGGCGGAAAATGACGCAAGATTGAAAGCAATAGCAGGCGTCACAACCAACCTCATGGGCCCCCTCAACGAGGCCGGCAGAGAAAACATCTTGAGTACAACACCCGGTAACACTCAGGAGGGAGAAATCTCACCCTCCTCGTCTGAAGATCTGACGATCATGCAAGAAAAGGGGGCTTCCACGTCTGCAGTCAAAGAAGCACCACCCCCAGTGGTCAAGAAGCTACTGGAAGAATGGCTGACGAACACCCTAGGCAGCTTGCTCGAAAAATCGCCCCAAAGCAACATTAAGAACCCGTTGACGACGGACATCGCTACCACCAGTGAACACGATACTGTACGTACAAACAACAACCACACCAATGACCAGACCAGCGATGGCACACTTGCAGCCATCCTTAAAAAATGGAGGAAATGGAGAATGAAAACAAGGCACTTCGGGATCAGATGAAAGAGCATCAGGAAAGAGTAGACAAAATTCCCGGCGCTCCTAAGTTACTACCAAAGCGCGACGTGGGAAGATTCGTCGAACAGCCATACAGCGAAGAAGCTTCACCTTACCCGATCCCAAAAACCTTCAAAATGCCACCCTACTTAAGGATATATGACGGGACGACGGACCCCGAAGACCACCTGTCCACTATGTGACCGCTGTGAAGGGTAATGATCTGTCAAAGGAACAAGTACCATCCGTACTGCTGAAAACGTTCGGAGAAACGTTGATCGGGGGGGGGGGGGAGGACTAACATGGTACTCACAGCTGCCAGCCAGAACGATATCAACATTTAAAGAAATGGCGGATAAGTTCGCCACCGCCCATGCAGGAGCTAAGAAAGCAGAGGCCAGGGTAAACGATATTTTCGCCGTCCGACAAACCGCAGGTGAGGGACTCAGGGACTTCCTGGCCAGATTCAACAGAGTAAGGATGAGCCTACCAAACGTATCGGAAGGCATGGCGGCCGCAACTTTCCAAAATGGGCTGAGCAGAGATGGTTCGAGAGCAACCAAAAAGCTACTAAGCCAACTCATGAAGTATCCTCCCACCACATGGGAGGAGATCCACAACGCCTACTGTGCCGAGGTAGAGCAGACGAGGATGACCTCAACAGACCAACCCAGTGGCTCGCGACGATACAGTCAGAAGCAAGGAAGGATCGACGCAGCGAGGGCCGGCGGGAACAATCCTCGCGCTTCAACAAAGAAAGGCAACGGCCTTACGTCATATCCTCGCATCCACCACCGCCTAGACACACAGAAGCACTGTAGCGACATGTCGCCCCACTCCGTAATGAAAGAGGTATGCCCCCTTTATTATCCGCCCATAACTTTTGCGTGTCTCCCTCAGAAATAGTGTACGCACTGGAGAAGCTGGGCACCAAGGTATAATGGCCGCAGAAGATAAAATCAGACCCCGCCATGAGGAAGTCAAATGTCTTGTGCGAGTTCCACCAAGAAAGAGGGCACAAAACCGAAGATTGCATAGGGCTACGGCAGGAGGTGTCAGAATGCTGAACTAAGGATACTTGAGGGAGCTGCTCAGCGATAAGGGAAAGATCAACTTTGCACGAGGGCGGGATCAACCTCAAGGGCCGCCAAAGCCGCCTTCGCCAGCACGCACCATCAATATGATCGTCGGAGGAGGCGACGATTCAGCAATCAACCATATAAAGTTCACCACTTCGCACAAACTGAAGCGAACAATCGCCCACGAACGGTATGATGACTTCGAAGAGAGTATCACCTTCGATAAGTCAGATGCCGACGGTTTGTCTTTTCCTCATTATGATGCTTTGGTCATAACTTTACGTATTGCTGACACTGATGTTAAGAGAATCATGGTTGATGATGGAAGCGGCGCTTGTATTATCCATCCAAGAGTCCTCGCGCAAATGAGGCTCGAAGATAGGATAATACCGCGTTGCGTAACACTGACAGGTTTTAACAATGCAGTGGAACGAACCTCCGGGGAGGTATCATTGCCGATTTTAGCAGGAGGAGTTACGCTGGAAACCACTTTCCACGTCATGAACCAAGAAACAGCCTACAACGCCATCATAGGACGCCCGTGGATACACGCCATGCGAGCAGTCCCCTCAAGCTTCTACTAAGTGATCAAGTTCCCCACCCCTTAGGGAATATTTAGCATTCGGGGCGAGCCGCGCACCGCGCAAGAGTGCTACCGAATCGCTCAAGACTACTCACACACCAAGCAATTGAAAGGAGCAAGTGTGGAAGCACAACAATCAGCCGTGTCGGGGACTAAGGTCGACCCGAAAACGGAAGCCATCAAAGATGCGGACATCGTAGAAGCCTACAAAGCAACGGTCGAGGATCTCAACCCAGTACAACTGGACAGCACCGACCACTCAAAAAAAGCCTACATCGGACACAACCTCTACGACCCAAGTAAGTACCATGAATTTTTAACTAACCACGCAGATCTATTTGCTTTTTCTCATTCAGATATGCCGGGGATACCAAGAGACATTGCCACCCACAAACTGAATGTCGACCCACTATATCCACCCGTGCGGCAAGTTAGAAGAAAGTTCAATGCCGCAATCAACGAGGCCGTCAGCGAAGAGGTAGATAAGCTACTGGCCAACGGGTCCATAAGGGAATCAAAATATCCCCAATGGGTCGCCAATGTCGTCATGGTCAAAAAGAAAAACGGGAAGTGGAGGATGTGCGTAGATTTCACAGACCTTAACAAGGCATGCCCGAAGGACTCGTTCCCGTTACCTTACATCGACTAGTTGATCGACGCCACAGTAGGACATGAGCTGCTAAGCTTCCTAGATGCCTACTCCGGCTACAACCAGATCATGATGGCCGAGGAGGACCAAGAAAAGACAACTTTCATCACCCACCAGGGAACGTATTGCTACAAGGTGATGCCCTTCGGACTCAAAAATGCAGGGGCGACGTATCAGAGGCTAGTTACCAGAATGTTCAAGGAACAGCTTGGCAAGACCATGGAGGTCTACATCGACGATATGCTGGTAAAGTCGGCAAACAAAGAAGACCACCTCGACCATCTGAAAGAAGCCTTTGAGATACTACGACAGTACGGGATGAAATTAAACCTAGAAAAGTGAGCCTTCGGCGTAGCATCAGGGAAGTTCTTGGGTTTCCTCGGATCACAATGAGGTATCGAAGTCAATCCTGACCAGATCATGGCGATAGACGCAATACCTGAGACCTTGCACAGCAAAAAACAGGTACAAAAGCTGACAGGGCGAATAGCCGCCCTATCCAGGTTCATCTCGCGATCCTCCGACAGGTGCCATAAATTTTTTAACGTATTGAGAAAAGATCACGGACTACAATGGAACGAGGAATGCGCCGAGGCTTTAAAAAAATTGAAAGAATACCTGTCTTCGCCACCATTGCTAGTTAAAGCAAACCCCGGCGAACCCTTGCTAGTATACCTGGCAGTGTCCGAAGTCGCCGTCAGCGCAGTCCTGGCCCGTGAAAACAAAGGTACGCAGTCTCCTATTTACTATATCAGCAAAACCCTAGTGGACGCCGAAATACGGTATCCACACCTCGAGAGGCTGGCTCTGGCACTGGTCGTAGCTTCACGAAAGCTTAGACCCTACTTTCAATGTCATCCTATAAAAGTTATAACGACCTTCCCCCTGAGAAGCATCCTACACAAGCCCGAGTTATCGGGCAGGCTCGCCAGATGGGCCATAGAGCTCAGCGAGCACGACATATCCTATCACCCGAGAAACGCCATCAAGTCGCAGGTACTTGCAGATTTTGTT